TCTGTTCTATCTCTGTCTTTCCTGGAGATCACGGACTATCATGGGCAGGGGATTAATTTGTAGCTAATTATGATCCAGTGCTAAATATGTATCCCTAAGGGCCTCCATCTGCAAGCGTTCCCCCGTGTGAGTGTGAGTGTGAGTATGAGTGTGTCAGTGAGTGTGTCAGCCTGTGAGCTCTGTGTGCCTGTCTGCCAGCCTGACTGCCCATCAATGCGGGGGGAGCCCTGACGCCTGAGGAAGAAGGAGCCTCAGCCGGAGTCTGGGAGTTGCCACATCAGTCTCACTGGCGGTGCCCACAGAGATTCCACAGCAACCAGGACCTGGGGTTTTGTTTGTCCTTTTTACTTTTTTTCTGAAGACCATTTTAACTGAACTCTGACTAAAGAGCTACTCGTTCCCGAGTCTTTTTTCTACTGTTGGTCCCAAAGCTGAAGTTCAGAGGAGAGAAGAGAGGAGAGGTGGAAAAAAGGGAAGGGGAAAGGGCAGGAGAGGACAGGAAAGGAAAAGAGAGGAGAGAGGTAAGAGGAGGAGAGGGAGAGGAGAGGGGGGATAGGAGAAGTGAGGAGAGCAGAGCAAAGGATAAAAAAGAACAGAGCAGAAGGGAAGAGAAGAAGAGATAGAGGGGAAAAAGAAAAGAGAGAAAGGAGGGGGAGAGGGGAGACAAGGGAGAAGAGAGGGAGGGGAGTGAGGAAGAGGAGAAGAGGCGAAAAGAGGAGGACAGGAGAAGACTCCCTTGGGGAAAGGAGTGAGGAAGAGGCAAGGTGAAAGAAGGGTGTAGGGAAGAGGAGAGGAAAGGAGAGAAGGGGGGCCGAGAAGAGGAAGAGGAAGAGAAGGGAGGAAAAGAGAAGAGAGTAGAGGAGAAAAAAGAAGAGGAGAGAGCTAGGCGCAAAGGGGTCGAGGGGAAGGGAAGGGGGAGGGGGGTCTCCCCAGAGTCATGAATGTGAGCACCAAGGCTGCGCTGGTTGACATCTCCATTCCCGCAGCTGTGACTGTGGCGACGGCGGCGGCTGCAGCGACGGGCCCGCCCGGGGCTCCGGGCGCCTGCGGCCGGTCACGGGACAGCATGGACAGTCACGGGGAGCTGCCGCTGTACCCGTGCCCGGGCGGGCGCGAGCGCCCAGGGGCCCCGGAGCAAGCGCCCAGCAACACTCCTGCGGGGCCCGAGGCTGCTGGGGCAGCGGCGCCAGCTGCTCCCCGCCCCACTTCCTTCTCTGTCCTCGACATCTTGGACCCTAACAAATTCAACAGCCGAAGGCGCCGCTGCGCTTTGCTCTACCCAACTGCCCAAGTAGCTCCCGCGGGCCTGGGCCCGGGATCCGGAGCAGGGACAGGGGCCGGAGCTGGAGCCGCAGCCGGAACAGCAGCAGGAGCAGACTACGGACTGACTGGCCAAGAGAAAGCCCGAGAACCCGGGCCGGACTTGGGCCCCGACGCCAAGACTCTGGCCGAAGTCCTGGAGCCCTGCGGCCCCAAGCCCTCAGATCTGACCCGTAAGTACTCGTCCCCAGCCAGCTCCTGCTTCCCAGTTCGGCACCACACGTCCAGCCCCCAGCTGCGGCCCAGCTCCTCCTAACCCCTGGCCCTTTCGGCACCCCGTTCCTCCCCAGCAAAGGCCTCCGAAACTCCAGCCAAGTTCGCGGCCCAAGGGAGCTCCTCCGGGACAGAGTGGGACTGGAGGGAGTGAGAAGGTGATGCTCTTTCCGCCAGGAGCCCAGCCTCCGCAGTGTGGGGGCTACTTTGTGTCTTCCTCCCTCCTCTCCCCTTTCCCACCTATCCAAGAATGCCCTAGCCTCCCTTGTCCGAACGGATCGGTATTCGGGACAAAATTTGAGCTGGTGGGGGTCAAGATGGAGGTCGGGGAAGGGGGTAAAGATTGTTTCGGTGGGAGTCCCGGCCCGGACCAGCTCTTGTAATCTCTGCCCTCTCCAGACTAACGCGGGACAGGCTCAGTTTCAGTGTGGCTGGAGGCTGAAGGGGAACCTGGGGTGCTGAGAGGCCTGCCCAGAGTTGAAGCGGGGGGGGGGGGGCTGGTGAGGTCTGAGCCCGCGGTCCGTCTCCTTCCTAGTCGGACTCCCCTTTCCCCGTCCCCGAGTCAATACCAGGATCGAATTTTCCCCAGAGTCGTTATTAGTAGTAAATCATCATCATCATCATCATCATCATCATCATCATCATCAATATCTCTGCTCCAGGTCTTGATTTGGGCAGGGTACTCTGAACTCTCCCCGGACGCATTCCATTTTCTCGTTCCCCTCGAATTCTCTCTCCTCTCTTTCCTTTCTCCTTCTCCCTAACCCCTCTCTCTTTTTTAAGGGCAAATCAGACTAATTGTCACAAAATGCTGGTTATCTCTGGAAAAACAATTAAATTCCTTCGATTACATTTAAGGTAAAATGTGCTTAGCAGCGTAAAGAGGCCGGATAATGGGGGAGCGCCCGGAGCGCCGGCCCGGCGGGGCCGGTCGATATCCCATTATCGAATCGTGCATATCTCTTTCAAACACCTTGCAAACTCTCTGCTAACATCTAAATTATAGGGTCAAAATTCGGATAATTACTCGATTAAAACCTATTACACTTATTAGGGGCCTCTATTGATCGCGAATTGCATTCGACCCGAGCGCCAGATTGCTTTTTTTTTTTCTTTTTCGTTTTGCCCCCTTTTCCCCCGGGTCCAAAATATGCCAGCTCCACCCAAGCCCCACGGGAGACAACGGCCAGGGGAGCTTGGGCTGGACCTGTGTCAAATGTAGGAGAAAAAAATTATTTTAAAAAGAACAACATAAAAACCGCCCGTTTCTATAGCGCTTTAGTGGTAAAGCGCTTTCCCCTCAACAACCTGATGAGGGAGGTAGTGCAAGGCTTTGTTGTCCCCATTTAAAATATCGGAAAATTGAGACTGAGAGAGAAGTGCCCAAGGCCAAAGAGCTAGCAAATGGGGAAGCCAAGACTGAAGTCCGAGTCTCCCGCCTACAGATCATAGTTCTTTCCACTACCCCGCACTGAAGAGACAGCTGCAGCCGGTGGTTGCAGGCCCAGGATGGAAGCTGAGGGGTATGGGCGAGGGAGGGAGGACGACAATTTCCCTGGAAGAGAGTGTCATGGGATAAGAAGGGAGAGCAAATCGGTGGTGAGCGCCCAGAGCCCGGTTGGCCACGCACAGCAGGGTCTGTAATGAAGAGTGCGCCTGTTGGGGCCGCTGGTGGGAGCTTTGGGTAGGTTTCGCCACCACCGCCACCTTTTTCGACCTTAGAGTCCTCCCAGATCAGTGAATACTCAGGGTTCGCACCGGTTCCAAAACGCAGTCCACTTGTGGTTGGGAACCAAAGACTCCTGGGCCTGAAAGTGTTGGAGGCAGGGCTTACGTAGGTTCTGTGGGGGTGAAAGAGCAGGTCGGAGAGGTTCAAAGAGTCCACCCCCAAGGCATTGCATTTGGGGCCGCGATGCCAGGCCCAGCGCTCCCAGCACCTCTAACTGCACAGTACAGGACTCGATCGTGGCGGCAAATTCGTCTGGGCAGGAGGGCCTAGGTGAAGAGCTTGGATCGAAGAGGGAAAGCGACTCATTACCTAAGGTGAGGCTTCCCAGAGCAAGTAGGCATGCCTTTCCCTTCCGGGTATGAAGATCACTCACCGCCTTCTAGAAGCAGTTGGCGGCTTAAGCAAGCTGCTGTCCAGGAGGCGTTCTAGGGCAACCCAGAAGAGGCCGTAGCCTCCACCCTGCCTCCCAAATCATGCAGCTTTGGAAGAACTCAGGACCCAGACTGACCAAAAACCAAGTTCGTGATGTCTAGCCGGAAACAAATTTTCAGAAGCTGCTGGAGCCTGACCCAAGACCAAAGTTAATCAGGGTTCGAAAGACCCCTTGTTCACCCCTCACCACCCTTCACTCGGTCAGAAGAGTGTGGAGTGAAGAGGTGGAAAATGAAGGTGAGGAAGAACGAATGCGCTTGGAGGAATTGTTTTATCGCACCCAAGGAAAACCAGCGCGTATTTGTTACGCCACGCCCCTGGGGGCATTTGTTCGGACACTGGCCTCCGAGACCCGGCTGTGTCTGACTTCTCTGCGGGAGAGGAAGAACCGTTGCGGCAGCAGAGTCCCAGTTTTTCAATCTTTGGGTAAAATCGAAGCCGAGAGGGTCTAGTCCCGACTTTGCCTCTCACACACTGTGACCTTGGGCAAGTTTCTCTTTCTCGGCCTCGGTTTCTCTCCTCTGCAAAATGAAGAGGTTGGATTAAAAAAGGTCTCTAAGTTCAGCCCAGCGGGAACACTGTAATTAGGTTAATTCCTTGAGAATACAGACCTCTGTCCTGGAAGCTGGCCTATCCCATGCCTGTGTTATAAAAGCTCGGAGAGTCACGGTGGGGCCACCGCTAGATAGACTAATGTGAGAAAGCAGCATGGCCCCAAGTAAAGCCTGAGTGATTCCAGCGCCTGGGAGCCTTCAGCGGGGATCTTTACTCCTGGAGTGAAAGTGGAATAGGCGACTTCCTAGTCTGGGAGTCTGGGATATAAACTGTCCTATCTCCACGGCAGCGCGCCAAGGGCTTGGAAGTGTTCAACCCCAAGAGTTCAAAGTGGTCATTCGGGTGCCTGTCCCGAAGCCAACTTCCCCCGGTGCTCCCTTTCCGAAAAGTCTTCCCAGCGGGAAGAGACAACTGGCGGAGCCGCAGAATGAGTTGGAATCTGGTACATTCTCCATGTATCCCAGGTAGCAAACAGACTCCTTTCCAAGGCTGAGGAGCCCGCGTCGCAACAAGGCCAAACCCGCCAATACGTCGGGTATGCAAATCCTGTCCACCCTGCGGGAGAACCCATCCTGGGGTGCTCAAGGACTAATAGACGGAACCCTGGGCTGCATCTGAACCAAGGACCTTGGGGTCTCAGGGGCACATCCCCAAGAAGAGAAAGGGATGCAGAAAGGGAAGAAAGGGACTAGTCAGGGATTCAGCCCTCGATCTGCGAATACCTATGTTTGCCCCCACTGAGCTCCAAGTGATGGCCAGAGCTGCCCCAGCCCCACCAGGCTGCTGTGGATTTGTGGGGTCTGGGAGCAGTGCCCGAGCTCCGCCGACAGGCCCAGACGCGCCAGCCTAGGCTGAGCTGGGAGAGGGAGGCAGCTCGCTTCTAAGTATCGGATAATTGCCTTGTTCGGTGCCCGAGCCCAGTTAATTGGAGTATAATATAAGCCGAAATAAATTAAATGACCGTTAACTAGTTTGTACATTACACAAAATGAGTTTAATTAAGTTTGTATCTGCCCTGCTAATCAATACGAGTATTTACTCCAATGTAATACTTCTCAGTTGGAAGCAGAGAGAAAACAAATAAGAGGGAAATTAAAAGGGGGTGGGGGAGGTTGACAACGCCTGGTACAGGCAGGTGCAGGGGTTCCGAACGGAAGATCACTTCACTGATCCCCTCTTTGTCACTCCTGGTTCAGCGAAATCATGGCCAGTCTTCCTCTTTATAGGGAACCTGAGACGTTTAGTCTCCCTCTTTCGTACTTCATTTTAAAAAAGAAATAGACAGCCTTTCTTGATTAACTCCTTTAGTGGAGAAAGGAGCTCCGCAGAGAAGATTCTGACATACGTAAAAGAATAACCCCATCGACGAAGGAAAGAAGAAAGGAAGGAAGGAAGGAAGGAAGGAAGGAAGGAAGGAAGGAAGGAAG